ACAAGGCATTCGACAAGAAGCTGACCGGCTTGAACGGCTCGAACTCCGAATCCCAGCTTTGCATCGAAGAATATCTCATTAAGAGTGAAAAGGAATGGTTCGACAAGTTCCGCGATGCTCGACTGGGTCGTCTGAAATCCCCCGCTTCGTCTGTCTTCCGGGACAAACATGGTGCCTCCCCCGTTGGTTCATACTACGATGACACTGGCTCTCGGGTGAGTGGCGACGATGATCGAGAGTCTCGTGATACGGAAGACGACGAGTTCCTCCTGGGTAAGGATTACGTGCCTCCGACGGGTCTGCGCAAGTGGATGCAGATTCGTGTCGGAGACTGGCCAATCTACTCGTTGTTCCTTGCCTTGGGTCAGATCATTGCAGCAAACTCTTATCAGGTGACCTTGCTTACCGGTGAGGTTGGTGAGACGGCCGAGAAGCTTTATGGTATCGCTACCACCTACCTGATCACCTCAATCCTCTGGTGGCTCGTGTTCCGTTACTTCAAATCGGTGGTTTGCCTCTCGGCTCCCTGGTTTTTCTATGGCCTTGCCTTCCTCCTGATCGGCTCCGCCCACTTCGAACCCAACTCATTCAACCGGGGTTGGATCCAGAACATCGGCAGTGGATGCTACGCCGCTGCCTCCTCTAGCGGTTCCATCTTTTTCGCATTGAACTTTGGTGATGAAGGTGGTGCGCCGGTTGAAACCTGGATCTTCCGGGCCTGTCTCATCCAGGGTATCCAGTCGGCTTATATTATCGGACTCTGGTACTGGGGTTCTACCCTGACCAAGGCATCCAGCCAGGGTTTGTTGACCTCGACGAACAATATCGCCAACAGCTGGAAGATGACGTGAGTATCTTCAAGCCCCTGATTCATCGATCAATCAACCATCTAGTCAGTCATTCGGCTCGCTAACAATGATCTCCTCTAGTGCCATCTGTTACCCGATTGCAATCTTCCTCTGGGCTGTTGGATTGTTGCTGCTCTTCGGACTTCCCAACTACTATCGCCAGACCCCTGGAAAGGTGGCCTCCTTCTACAAGTCCGTATTCCGCCGCAAGATCGTCCTCTGGAACTTTGTTGCCGTCATCCTGCAAAACTTCTTCCTTAGCGCACCTTACGGTCGCAACTGGGGCTGTAAGTCTATCTCTTTCCGCCATATCTTGTCGAACTGGCAAGCTAACTCTACTCTGCAGTCCTTTGGTCTTCCAACCACGCTAAGGCCTGGCAAATCGTCATCCTATGTATCGTCTTCTACGGGTTCGTCTGGGCGGGCTTCCTGTTCGTCGTCAGCCGCTATTTCAAGTCCCACAGCTGGTTCCTGCCCGTGTTTGCGTGTGGACTCGGGGCGCCTCGCTTCATACAAATCTGGTGGGGTGTCTCGGGCATTGGCTACTTCCTTCCCTGGGTCTCCGGAGGCTATCTCGGCGGAGCTCTAGCCTCACGGAGTCTCTGGCTCTGGCTGGGTGTGTTGGATTCGATCCAGGGTCTCGGGTTCGGTATCATCCTGCTGCAGACCCTGACCCGCATGCACATGCTGTTCACCTTGATCTGCTCGCAGGTGCTTGGTTCCATCGCCACCATCTGTGCTCGAGCGTTTGCCCCGAATAACGTCGGGCCCGGTCCTGTATCGCCGGACCCTACCTTTGGAGGAAGTGCAGTGGCCAATGCGTGGTTCTGGGTGGCCCTGTTCTGTCAGCTGTTGGTGTGTGCTGGCTTCCTCCTCTTCTTCCGGAAAGAGCAACTTTCCAAACCTTGAACGCCTTAATGATGTGGTGGTGCGCTTGAGCACCACTGGGCATGAACATTCTACATACGTCCCCACCATTCCTTTCTTCCTTCCCTCCTTCCCTTCCCTTACCTACACCCCTTGGATATACTCTTACTGTCTGTCATAATATAATTTTTCCTGTATGTATATAGAAGTCCGCATGATGAACCGGATAAGGTTCCGGTCGTCTCATTGAATACCATTGTGGGATTGGGAAATAGATCCCTGCAGATTCATCTGCTATTCATATCTTTGATTGTGCAAGAGTGTTTAGAATAATTGAATGTAAATGGCATATCGTAAGAAGTGCTTGATACTAGAATGCGAGAGGTGGCCTGTAGCCAGTACTTTGTTTTGGGTGCAGGATAGTGAGCCCAACCATTTCTCCAGTACCGTATGCCTGCCACAACCCAGGAGGTGATAGATTGCTGCCTCAGGTCCCCCACATTTATCGAAGAAACTGCAGATAATAATCCGAACAATTATGTTATAATCCAAACGGGAACAAATAAATTAGTCAACAAGAAGAAACGGGAAAAGAAAAAAAGGAAAACAGAATCCGAAAGGGAGTCCCGAAACAATTCCCGCTTCGGCCGGGACTATTCCCAATGTGGACAACCGGGAGCTCCACCGCGGTCCTTCCGGGCGAGGCAGACGAACTAATAATATTGAGAATGCGGGAGGGAGTGGGAAGTTAGAGAGAGAGAGACACTCTGGAACAGTTGTCCCCCTCCCTCGCCCTTTCTTTCCTCTTTCCTCTCTCCTCCCTCTCCTCTTCTCTTGTTCTCTTCATCGTCGTCCTTCCATCTAACTTCTTCCTTCATGTTACTACCGATTGCTTGACTCCACACCTAACACTGCTGTCCCCATCACACACATATACTGTGTAGTACACACAATACATAAATACCCTCTCTTTCGTCATCTACTTGTTTGATCATCTATCATGAGGGAAGAACCATTACTATAGAGCTCATCGCTCTTGCAATGTGGGATGATGAAAAGATAAAAGATGATGAAAATGCATCGACATTGGCTAACACTTGCCGTTCGCTGATTACAATAACAACAAGAAAGAAACAGCAGATGGACTGAACCCGACCCGAACTGACTCCCAAACTAAACCGTCTTCTTCTTCCTAAACATCCACCTTGAACGATGTGAGCCGCGCCTTGATCGCCTCCTCCGACTCGTCCGTGTCCAGCTCCCGAAGAACACCGCTTCCGACATCATAAATCAGCCCATGGACCTGCAGCCCACGTTCCTGAATCGCCTCCAACACCACGCTCTTCTCCTTCAACAACTTGACTCCCTCCAAGACATTCAGCTCGACCAGCTTAAGGTTCGCCTGGTCAGCCGGCAGCGAGTTCAGCAGATCCAGGTTCTTCGCCCGGAGCTGGCGCAGAGGCAGCAACCAAGGGTCCAGGATTCCCAACTGCTTGTTACCCAGGGCCGCAGCGACACCGCCGCAGCTGGTGTGACCGCAGAGGACTACATGGTTGACGCGCAGGTAACGGACCGCGTACTCGATCACGGCAGAGGAGCTGAGGTCGCCGGCGTGCAGGACGTTGGCGATGTTCCGGTGGACAAAGACATCGCCGGGCTTAAGACCAAGAAGAGTGGTTTCGGGGCATCGGGAATCGGAGCAGCCGATCCAGAGGATCTCGGGCTGCTGGCCGTTCGCGAGCGTTGGGAACAGTGAGGGGTCTTCCTTGGAGATCTGTGCTGCCCAGTCTTTGTTCTGGTGCAGAGCAGAGGTGAAGCGGTCTGCGTCTGTATTAGCACACGCTGGTGGCTTGGTGGTTGAAAAGCAGGCGGCTTGTCGTGGTGGGAAAAAGGAGACACGCTGGGAGGGAAGAGGAAGACTGGCTCGTGAACTTGACTGCACCCCCGACCGGGGAAAGGTATGTATTCCGAACCTGGAATACATCTGCTGCAGTCGTGAAACAAGCCTTGTGGACTCCATGGTGGTGTGAAGGGGCTATGAGGACAAAGGGATGGACAAAAATTGCAGCACCACGAGGATGAGTCACTGCCAGGGGAACTTAAAAAAAAAAGTAACGGAAATCGACGCCAAAGCGCAAGGATATCAATACGTTTGCAATTTGGCACTCGATGAAGCAACGATGTTGGTACAGAAACAGAGGCAACGACACGCTGAAATTTCGCTGTGGAGGAAGTTGAGGGAAAAGATGAGGAAAAGGTAAAATCTGTGGGGAGCCGCCGCTTTGCGAGTCTATCCAGAAACGCCAAGAATGGATGGTTCTATTCTGCTGGTGCTGATGCTCACGTACCTGTGCCAGTGGACGCCATGATAACTGATGTTGGAGAGAGATTTCGCAGTGACCTTGTCGGACAGTCTTCTGGATTCAGGATACTGAGTATTTTGAGTTGGCTACAATGCTCCCTTTCTTTCTTGCCCCCCGCCGGCAATTCCTTGGGGATTCTCGTCGGCAATGCCACCCCCAACCATGCAAACAATGCAAACACCCCAACTCACCGGACACCCAAAGGCGCCATCGGTCACATTTCGGTCGAATTAGACCTCTAGAGATAGGCAGATCAGCAGTTAGGGGAGCTGCATATACTACATTGCTAACCAATTTGCACCGATAAGGGTGCAGCCAGGGGGACTACTATACGAGTTGGTGGTGGCCTTCCCTTCGGCCGTGCAGGCACCCGCCTCCCTTGTTGAGACGCTCGGCAATTCCCGGCGTCACGTGTGGATGGGGTGTCCGCTTTTTGCCGCTGAACCCCCAACAGTCAAGACTGGGTCGACAGGTGCTGTCTCCGAGGAGAAACCGGTCTGTAGTGATCACATTGGAGTGATCAAGGCACCTAGAGGATATGATGGGAGTCTGTGCGGCTGTAATGGTCAATCGGAGGGTGTCTACGGAGTACAGTAGTCGTAGAGTCACAGGGAGGTTCGTAGGCTCCGCCATTCCTTATGCACCAGTTGCGTCGATGCGCGAGCACCGTTGTCTACCATCCTCGATGTACCACTGAGACATGCACCGCCAGTATGCGCAGACTGTCCGAGTTATGATCTACTGCTTCGGGGTCCGGGTGAGGGTTGCTACTACTCCGGCAACCCCAGGAACAGTAGTGCCTATCTCTAAGATCGACCTCAGTAAACCCATGCTCCATTTACATGCTGCGAACCACGAGTATATCTCGTAAACCCTGTGCAGTGTGCCGTGCCAACCTTCTCTGTAAGCTGAAATGGCTGCCTCACATCATTAGAGGATGCAAACCCGCCCAATCATTCATCGGATAAGGCGACAACGGATCAAGCGCGAAACACCAGTCAAAATCGAGATGTCTCTAAAAGGACATAGTCAGAATCGAAATATAGAAATGAAGCAGAAATGCGAACGCATACCAAATCACCATCTGCAGCATCGTCCCAAGCCATTGGCTGCAGGGCATTCATTTGATGACACGCATCTACAGCTGTATTTGGACCCAAACCCTGCGTTTGCGAAGACTCTGCCTGCTTATAATTTAGCTGGTATACCCAGAGTGAAATCAAACAGAAGACAATGAATACAACCTACCACTTGATATACCCCACCACTCTCTCCCTCTCCAACACGTCCGATTCCTCTCTCCCCATCCTGACATTGATATCCCTCCAATAGCGCATCCCTACACCTCCTCGACGCAACCGGACATGCATCATCAACCCCCAACGGCACCGTCTCCCCACCCCCACCCCCGTCTATACTTCCATCCTTAACAGCTACCATCTCACTCCTAACCACCATAAAAAGAATCATCAATATACTAAACATCTTCGTCGCCCTCTTCTCCACCCTCACCTTCCCCTCAAAATACCTGATCGTGTTCTCCACGCTCTCGAACAGCGCTAGCCGCTGGTAATACACGCTTTGATCCATGTACTTCGAGATACTACTACTCCCCGGAAAAGGTATATCGACTACTCGGTCATGGGATTTGGTTTGTAAGCGCAACTCGAAGCAGATTGTTGCTGCCGCGTGGAAGAGGTCGTCGCGGAAGAGCCCGCCTTTGAGGTGGTGTATGTGTGGGGAGAATTGGTTGTTGTTGTTAGGTAGTGGTGCTGATGGCTGGTTGTTGTTGGGGCGGTGGTGTAGAAAGCGCTCTAGCTGAGAAAGCAAAGCTAGGCTGGTCTGGACGCATACTCGTCGCGAGATTATGAAGGGTTCCTGGTCGAGTTGGGTTTCTGTGAAGCGCAGGAAGAAGGGTCGGTGGAGGGCGAGGAGGCTGCGGTAGTGCAAGAAGAGGAAGAATGAGCGGCGAAACTCTGTGTTGACGCTGCTGTCGTTAGGTGAGGTTGATGTACTGGTGTCGTCTCGGAGGTCTGCTGGAGCCTGCGCCAGTCCTGTTGTCAGGCGTTCGCTGAGGGTGGTGACTTCATCGTTGTAAGTCGCGCTCAGGCGTACCCGGTTGACCATTTTGGATATAGCTATTCGAGTCTCTAGTGTCTGCGCTAGAGCAATCTGGAAGGATGTTCTGGTTAGGGTATTCGATTGCCTCGAGGGAGGTAGATGGAGCGAGTCGATGATAATGTCCTCATCGTCAATGTCAGATGGCAAGGGGCTGTCAAATTCGTCCCATGATACTGCCAATGGTATCCCGCTGTACAGAGAGGCTTGGAGCTCCAGCTCGATGACTGTTAGCCAGAGGCGTTTGCGTAGTTCGGCCCAGAACGGGGAAATTCTGGGAAAGTTGCATGGATCCCGATGAAGACCCGTTAGCATCGCTTCGCGGAGTAGGGATCCGGACGCCAGGCTGGCTAGATCGCCGTCTTGGGCGGTTGCTTGCTGTGCAAGGAGCAGTAGGCATTTTACCTGGATCACATCCAAATTCAGTTGGGCGTGGCTTGTCATGGCTGCTAGCCATGTGGTGACTGCTGCGATCCAAGTATGACATGTCTGTATCAGTGACTGCGGGCTGAAGCCCGCGGATGCCAGTGGTTCTGTCTTCTCGGTGGCGAAGCAGCTGGCGCATGCCATTAACATCAGGAGTTTTGCGATAAAGATATCAGACTTGTTATTGAGCAATCTGTCAGCGTGGGATACGCTCCGATCACAAAAAGCATTCCATTCGCTGATGAATGATGGGACGTGCAGTATGCGTAATGTTGTCTCGAAGGTTGAGAAGTACGATCGCATCAGGTATTCGGCTAGAGGACGATCAGGCAATAATTCAATCAGTTTTGAAGAGGGTGGCTGGTCGCTCTGTCGTCGTCTCTCAGGTCCCCTTAGATCATGCTTTAGTCGTCTTAGGGATAGGTAATCCGTGAATCCTGGGTTGGTGGGAGTTTGCTTGTTCCGATAGTACTCATGCAAATGGGCGTTGAAATCGGCGAACTGCAGTTGACTCGTTAGCCATGCAATTGAGCTAAATGGAAACAGCTTGATTCTTACCATCCCAAGGGTAGTCGCCCAGTGACTCCGTCCAAAAAACCGGGTTCTTTGTTGCTTCCCTCGAAATGACAACGGCGAGAGATATTGAGAGAAGGTATCCCCTGATGCAGATGAGGCCTGCCCTCTATCATATTGAGGCTCTACGTCAAAGCATCGAGGGGCTGCGATTCCCCTCGTCGAACCCACTGCATTTAAGGGTGGCGACCGAAAGATAGACCTTCTCGCAGCAGCATCCCCATCAACATTGCAAGTACTCCCAGAAGTGACAGTAGACGGGGGTGTATCAAGCGGTGGCCCAGCAGACGGTTGCCTGACCGCACTTGCACTTCGCGCATCTTCTTCTCGTACAACCAGAGACAATTTGGCAGCTCTGGGTGTTAATCCCAGGGAGGATTGCGACGGAGAAAAAGTATCAGAAGGATAGAAGCAAGCATCTTGGGCGTTGGCGCGCACACACTGCGCGCAGGGTTTTGAACGATCGCACTTGATTTTGCGATCGCGACAGGAAGTGCATGACAGGACCTTCCGGTGTCTTCGGGTAGGGACAGGCCTTCGTTGGGGATTTACTCTCATGATGCTTCGCTTAGTTGCGTTTAAGTGGTCCGGCTGCGCGGGAGCCATGACACCGTGGGGTGAGGGTGGTTGACCCGCTAATCGGAGTTGGACAAACGTAGTAAAAGCAGGGTCCGAGCATGTAGGATATGAAGTAAATGAGAGTTGAAATTATGGTGGCTGAAGTGGGAAAAGAGAGAATAGTAGTGATGATATCCTTCGGTGTTAAGACATATCCTAATCAGGGAAATGTGAAGTCCGGACCGGCGTCTTACTGTAGTTGGTAAGCCGAAGTCCGCCGGCCTGTTGGTTGTCCCAATGAAGTAATTACTAGTACTGAACCTCATTCACTATTGTTCTAGGAGTACGTATGTCTGCTCAGAACCTCCCTACAAGGTCTTATTCTGCGACTTCGTCTACTTACAGCAAACATTGGTCGACTCAACCGCCGAAAGACGACAAAAACATGAAGCATTGATAGGAACATCCGCCGAAGCCAGCGCAACGTCGCGTTGAGCACGAATATACCGAGCCTTGTCATGCATCCCCTGCCGAATCAGACACTCATACAAGCCATGCAGACTCCAGACGTTGTTCAATCTTGCCTTCCGACGCGGGAGGGTTTCACTCAACCCCAGATCCTCTTCATACACATGCTGTGCTTCACTAACGTGACCCTGTTCGAGAAGCAGAGCCCCGAGGGCATGTCGTGCAGGCTGCATCCATGGCGGAGGATCAGCGTAGACAAGGTTATCCTCCAACTTTGTCGCTTGTCGCAAGTGATCGAATGCCTCTGCAAAGTTGCCCTGGCGATACTCGATCTCTCCTTTTAACATAGCCGATCCGATCTCAAGGACGTCCACCTCACGAACTGGCAGGCTGTTTAAGCGAGATGGGGGGACCTTTTTGCGAGCAGCCTCAAATTTCTTCCTTTCTTCTTGGGCTTCGTCTACGCGATTCAATACCGCCAAAGCAATGCCGCGGGCATAGTAGATCATCGCCGTCGTGGACGCGTATAGCTCCTTATCCTCGGGGAGCTGTAGATCTAAGATATCATTCCACCGTCCAAAGCGAATCAAGACATGGGCTATGGCTCCCAGAAACCCTTCTGCCCAGTTCGCAATAGGAGGAGTGGTTATAGACAAGAGCTCGGGGGTGAGGATTTCCTGCAGACGCTTCATGCCGGAGATGGCCTCTGCAAAATTCCCAGAGATGACTGCACCATAGACCTTTACGTAAATGTTGTGCGATCGGTACATGATATACAAGAGGGTGCCGGGCTCTCTGGCAAAGTATTTGTCGTCGACAGCCATGGCCTGGTTGTTCGAATCAATAACCGCTCGGTAGTCACCACAAGCGACATAGATATGGCTAGGCATATGCAGCATGTGCGAACCATCTGGCACGAGTCGAAGAAGTCGATCCGCAGCTGGTAGTGCGACCTCCGGATACGGCGCCATCTCCATGAGATGGATATACAGATGGCAGTATGCAGGATTGTTACTGGCATCGGGGAGGGAGGCCATAGCCTTCTCCAGGGCCCGACGAGCCTCAGTCGTGTGGGGACCGCAGGGCTCGCCGGTGTCAAGATTCCACAGAGCCCGCGGGGATATGCACATGAGTGACTCTACAAAGAGAGCCACGATATCAGGGTCCTCCGGATAAGCCTCGTAGACGGGTCGCATGGCGTCTGCATAAGCACGATCTAACGCATGAAGATCCAGATCCTCTGGCTTCGTTTCCACATCATCTCTGGGAAACCGAGCCCCCAAGGCCTCAACCAAGGCCCTTTCGGCCGGACTCGCCCCTTGTGCTGCCAGAGCCCGGGCGCGTTGGAGTACGGGTTTCATTTCCGTGATAGTTGTGGCCAGATCCACTGGGTCAAAGCGAATCCAGGCCTTGTTGTAGTTTGGTCCACGGGCATAGGCTAGGCCCCAGTACGCCATGGCACAACTTTCATCGGCCTTGCTGGCTTTAATGAAGCAGCGGGAGGCTTCTTCATGGTTGAAGGAGTAGGACCAAACCAGTCCGCGGTTAAACCATAGCTGGGCGTCGGAGGAGTTGGTCGTTACGGTTCGGCCGTACGAGCCTAGGTTGAAGTAATCGTCCGTCATGGCAGTGGTGGAAGGAGATGATATTAACGTCTCATTTGAAGCAAAGAAGAATAAGGTTAATCTGGGTTTAGTCTGGATGTTATTGAGCTGATAGTAAGTAGGAACTTTTGATGTGCCAGTTGGTGTTCCGAGCGGGGTCGGCCTTTTATAGTTTATTGTTGTACTAAGTACTACTGGCAGTTGGGCTGGAAGGTGTGATCGGGGGTCTACTACTTTTAGCTGCATACGGACGTATGCAGCTACTTACTCCTCACCCAATACGTACTGATAATAGAACTGATAGTAATGACATGAGGAGATATGCAAGTCGATCGGCAATACCTCCATACCACTGGTTTATCAGACGAAGAAATGATCGGACATAGTATCGATCCACTTTAGTTGTGGGGGAACAACAATCATCGGCATTGGATCGGTGATAGGATGCTACCATAGCAGGAAAGATTGATATCCGAGTACTCCGTGCATGTCTCCAAAAAAGAATTCAGTTATTTGAAAGTGAAATGCCGGTGGAGCTGCTCTCCTTTCATCCCCCGGAGATAAGCGGGAGACAATCTTAATCAGGAAATGCGTCTTTTTCGCGGGAAAATCAGAACTCCCAATATAAGATGAGAAGTACTAACCCTACCACAGACACACTTCTTCAACATTGAAATATTATTTCACCATGACTCCCAAGATGTTACTATATAGAACAAGTCCAACCCTCCACATAACTCCCCACACTCGCCGCCTCTTTTCCCTCCTCTCCCCAGCACAAGCCTGTCGATCCACTACTACCCAGACCTCCTGTCACAACAAATCATCATCTCCAGCAACTGGAAACACTTCACCATCATGTTCAACAACAACCACAGAACCACCACAATCCCACAACCCTCTGACATTCAACTTCTGGACAAGCAAACCCGCCTGGAAGCGCGCAGGCATCAACACCCTCCGCTGCCTCGTTGGCTGCACATTGGGTGATTTCTCCGCCCTGTGGATTCTCCAAACCTACTATCCCCATTTAGGCATGGGTCTTATTATGGGTGCCTCGAGTACGTCTCCGGTCTAGTATCCATACAATTTGAAAAGAAAAAGAAAATGTGTAAAGAATGTCTAATGAAGAGCATAGTGGCCTCCGGAATCACCACATCCATCATCCTGGAAACCATTCTTCTCCGCCGAGGCGCCGACCAACTCTCCTGGCCAGCGGCAGCCCGCACCGCTATGGGAATGAGCATGGTGTCGATGCTGGCCATGGAGACGGCGGAGAATCTGGTCGATTATCACCTCACGGGTGGGATGGTGAATATCGCTGACCCGATGTTTTGGACTGCTGCGGCTACATCCATGGCGGCGGGTTATTTGGCGCCGTTGCCGTATAATTATTTGAGGTTGAGGAAGTATGGGAGGGCTTGTCATTAATGAGTTTAGCTAGGATTCCTGTGTAGCCTATAGTATGTAATTATATATTATCTGCTCTGTATGTATATCGTTTGCTACGGATCGGCAATAGACTAATCTCAGAATCAAAATAAAGATATCTCGGTTTTCTGCGTCTGGCTGTTGTATGGAGAATAGCTTCATGGGTATTATGTCTCTGGATTTGGCAATTATAGTAACACTTTTCACTAGCCATGGAGTATAAGTATAAGGACCACTCTTTGATAGGGTTCCGGATTAGATGTATGTTAGTTCAAGCAAAAGACAAAGGTGGCTTTCCGCCCCTGCACGTGGGTCAAGTACGCATCGAGCTCATGATCTTCGTCAATTACAAACGGAATCTCATTGCCCTTTTCATCACGGTCCATTCCCTCGATCTTCGTGACGACGGCGTCCGGGTACTTCTCGCCGACAATCTGCTGCAGCTCAGCCACCGACCGCGCCGTCAGCTTCTCCACCCACGTCTTCGAGTCGCCGTGCAGCGGACTCTGAGGATGGATGCGAAGGTAGACAGGTACATGCACCACAGATGGCCCCAGCATCGGGTCTACATAGCCAAAAGCAGCTGCGGAATCGGAAGGACCCGTCGCGAAGGAAGGGTCATTGGCGGCTTGTAGCAGGGAGGGATCTATTTGCATGTCACTGAGATCACTCGGAGCACTGGCCAGCGCCTGCGAGGCGAGTGTGCTGATTCCATTGGCAATGCCACTCCCGTAGCTGCTGCTGACTGGAGGACTCTCCGGTTCTGATTGAGGAGCCGGGGCGTGAGGGACGGATGATTTGCGGGCGGGATCCCGCTTGGTCTGGTCATCGCGAAGCCGCTTCATGACGTCGCGGCACAGCACTTCCAGCGCTTTCACTTTCGCCGTGTGCTCCGGGTCCGCTGGGCCTGGCGCAAGAATCTGACGTAGGAGCTCCGAGTTTTGGATCCACTGGTCCTTCAACTCCTTCCAGTGTTCGTCGCCAGCCTCCAGCTTACTCGTGAAATGGTCCGCCTTCAGGGTGTTGTAGAATGCATTCCGTATCTGGCGGCTCTCCTCCGGATTGATCCCGAGGACATTCTTGGCCTCGGCAATGGTCATTCGCCGTTCCAAAGTCCTCATCCTCTTCGTCACATCAGTGCATAACACGTCCAAGGCAAGTGTTTTGGCTTCTAGCTGGTTGGGATCATGCCAAAACACCTGCTGGAGATGTGGTGATCCCTCGATCAGCTTGTTCTTGGCGTCCTGCCATCTCTCAAGTCCCGCAACGGTCTTTTTGATGAAGCCTGCTTCTTCACAGATCCGTTGGAACTGATCCCGTACCTGCCGATACATCGCATTGTCCAGTCCGAGATACTTTTTGCTCTCATCAATGGTTGTCTCAGAGGGGAAGCGGGGAGGTCCCGGTGGGTCAGCGGGCAGCCCTGCCCATCCGCGAGTCCGGCGGCGACGCTTCCTGCTCGCCCAACGCTCTTCACTTTCCGCTTTGAGGCGCTCGAGGCGTTCCTTGCGCTTGGCAAGAACTTCGGGAGGCAGGTTGGGGGAGGTAGGGTCGTCTGTCGTGGGGGTGGGGAGGTTCTCGGTCTCGTCAAAGGGCGGTGCTTCGGTTTTGTACACTTCCTGCTGGAGCGCGAGGAGTCCTTCATCTTCGGGCAGCTGGATTGGCGTCTGAATGCGCGATTGCGACTTCATCCCGTTGGGGACCCGAAGCAGCCAGCGATTCTTGGCCCGCACCCGCATCAACTCCCGCTCTTTAATCTCAAAACCCTCCTCATTCAGTATGCGAAGCATGTCCCGTTGACTTGTATTCTTCTCCCATAGTTGCTTGACTCGTGCTACGAGCTTGGCGTTTTTATGCGCAGGATTCTGTTTCGAAGGGAAGCCCCACCGTTTGAATTGAGTTTGGAACGCGCGTTTACTGTTAGATCGCAGAAGGTTAGATAAAGTAGCAAATGCGAAGGGATAGACTTGAGATATTTGGGATTGTATATGTGAACAGAATCACATGAGCAGTGTCAAAAGATGGCGCGTGCGCGGAGTCACTGACCTTGGAGCGAACTGGTAGACATTCTTCATGTACTCCATAATCTCCTCCAGGGCCTTCTTATCCTTGATATACATCTGATAGCAGATCTCCCGCTTGCCATCCCAGTCGTAAACCATGGTGACGGGATGAACAAGGGAGGCGACACACCCTCCCCAGTGGAGGTAGTGCCTGGGGGGATAGCAACCCAGCCAGCCCAGCTGGGTGGAGTGTGGAGGAGGAAGTTGGGGGAAGGGGAGGTGAAAGATGGAGAGTGACTGCTCGAGACACTGGGGGTGCTTGCTGTGCCCCGTAGTCGCGCCTGCGAATCCGTCGTGCTTCTGGACCGCCGTAGTGCTAGTCGGTTGAGGGGAGCCAGACGGTGCACTTGCGCAACATCCTTGGGGGAGTCACCTGACCTAGCCTGACTTGCTGACTGGCAATCGGCCCGGATTAATAATCCAGTGCCGATATGCCCCTCCGCGCTGTGCCGTTACGTGATCGGCGGCCTCCCCGCAGATTACTAGATTTCTTCGTCTACTACGGCTTCTTCATCTTTTCCTCTCTTCTCTGTGAATTGGACCCTTAGATTGACATTGCCATTACCGTGGTCTCGTCAGGTACTGTCGGACACATCTCTTGAACTATATTTCGCAATGGCCGACTCCGTCTACGCGGATTATCCACCCCACCTGAACCCCGCACAGAAGGAGTTCCTGGTCCGGACAGTGAAAGATTGGACTGTTCAACATGGATTGATGATCCGGCCTGCACCGACATTCATCTCCAAGGAGTCAGACCCTCAGGGCGTCGTGGCGACCAGTGCCCCGGTCACCTTGTTTCCTAGTCCTTTCCCCAAATCCTGCTTTGAAGAGGCCCAGGCCCTCCAGACGGTGTACAACCAACTCTATGCCGCGATCACCTGTGATGAACAATGGATTGGGGATATCATGGAAGAGTAAGGGGTACCTCTGAGCCATAATCCTTCTCCCACCCTCGTGGAACAAGTTCTGCGTTCTGCTGCACTTCGTTTGCTTTCGAGCTGCAGATGTAGATGCTAAACCGTTCTTCACTTTAGCCTCATTGACGTGGACGACTTCATCTCGCACCTCTGGAATGTCCACCTCGCTGTTAAAAAGGAAGGTTACGTCCAGAACCTCTCCCTTGGTCTCTACCGGTCCGATTACATGCCTCATATGCCGTCTGCCTCGTCTACTCCCTCCTTGAAGCAGGTTGAGTTCAACACCATCTCATCATCCTTCGGCGGGTTGTCAACGCTCGTGACTTCCCTGCATACTGAGCTTCTCAACTCTCCACCGGGTCATCCCATCGCTTATCCGTCGCATCCTCTACTTGGCTCGAGCCAACCCCCAAAGAATAACTCTGTGGAGACCCTCTCTGCGGGATTGGCTGCAGCACACACTGCCTATGGATCATCCAAATTATCACCAGCCCTACCTACATGCATTGTCTTTGTTGTTCAGGAAGGTGAAAGGAATGTCTTCGACCAATTAGCTCTCTCAAGGCAACTTACCCAGGTTCACAAGATTCCCGTGTTCCGCCTACTCAGTTCCGAAGTCTTCACGCACACTCACATCCCTACCTCCAATCCTTCCCGGCCGCTTATCTACCGCCCTCCTCACGCTGAAGGAGTCGAATTCGAAGTAACGACAGTGTATCTCCGTTCGTTCTACACACCGACAGACTACAAATCCGAGCGAGACTGGGATGCTCGTATCCATCTGGAGCGTTCCGCCGCCATCAAATGCCCCACTGTCCTGAACCAGCTTGCGGGATCTAAGATCGTACAGCAGGTGCTTGCAGAAGCCCAGGGGCCGGATCATCTTGCCAAGTTCCTTTCCGGTACTGACTCATCTACGATTGAGAGGCTACGAGCGACCTTTGCTCCGCAATACGACCTTTCCTCAAGTGGCCGTGGGCGCAGCCTTGCCTTAACTCCCGAAACAGCAGCCAACCACGTACTGAAACCCCAGCGCGAGGGCGGTGGAAACAACATCTACAAAGAGGCAATCCCTGACTTCTTGCGATCCCTCCCTGAGACGGAATGGAAGCGATGGATTCTGATGGAGCTTATCCAGCCACCTGCCGAGGCCAAGAACGTAGCACTGCGACCCGACGGAGAGGTCCTCAGCGGAAATGTCATCGGAGAACTGGGCATCTACGGCACGATCCTCTGGGACCAGGCCGGAGGCAAGATTTTGCACAACGAACAGGGCGGTTGGCTCATGCGGACCAAGGGCAAAGACGTCAACGAGGGAGGCGTTGCCACCGGATTCTCCAGCCTGGACAGTGTCATTCTCTATTAGAACATACGGCCTCTGTACACCAGCTAGATCTACCATATATATACTATCTATTATAGACTATATAGATAAATAATCAATTTTCAGAACCACCTCTACTACTATCAATAGTATCTTCCCTAACCCAATGCCCACTCTTGCCCCCCTTCTTCTCCAACAATCTCACCCCCTCAACTACCATCCCCTTATCCACCGCCTTCAGCATATCATATACCGTCAACGCCGCCCCCATTGTCGCCGTCATAGCCTCCATCTCCACCCCCGTCCGTCCCTCACAACTCACACTAGCCACGACCCTCATTCCCCCATGCCCTAAATCCCACTTACCGCTATCATCACCATGCTTAGCCGACGCAGTCTCCGGCCCAACCAACTCCACATCCACCTCCACCCCCGTGATCCCTATCCCCGGATGACACAGGGGAATAATATCCGGTGTCCTCTTCGCAGCCATAATCCCCGCGATGCGCGCTACACTGAATACATCACCCTTTTTGGTCATTCCGCCGTCGCGCAGGATCTCCCAGGGCCGCGGATTGGAGAACTGGATGTGACAGGTTGCTGTAGCGAGGCGGGAGGTTATGGGCTTTTCGGTGATTTTGGTCATGTGCACGTTTTGCGAGGCGTTGAGGTGTGGGAGGTCGGGATCCGGGGTTGTGGGGAGGGAGATGGGTTTGGTGGTGTTGTTGTTGGTGCCGGAGAATTCATCGTTGTTGTTTGCACGTGAAGTGTGGTGGTGTCTCGATTGGGGGAGGTATGGTCGTGGGATGCGCTGCCCTGGTGTTGGGCGGGGGATTGAGGGAGTGGGCTTATAGTTCGAAGAATGCTGGCTTCGCAATGATGGGTTATCTGTTTGGTGTCTGTTAGCGGAGAAGGAGTACATGCATGGTACATGATGCTGGGTAGAAAGCATTCAGTAAATCTATCGCTTACCTACCAATAGGTAATATGGGGTTGCAGCTGGGTAATCTGGCAGCGTGATGAGTTGAATAGCTGCGGGGACAGCGAAGGGATGACAAAAGCGTCGTAGCTCCCCGACTGCGCCATAGGAGTTCAGTCATTGTTTAGAGAATAGTTGATTTGGTGCGAATAGTAGGCTATGGCATCATTGTGAAATAAGACATCAGAATTGTCCCTTGATACGCGTCGAGTGACTAGGCGTGAAGGGAATAAGTCTAAAGAGAGGAGCTTTCGGAGAGAGCTTAAGATACGGTGTTTCCTTATCGGTGGGGATTATCCCGCCGCAAATCGCGGCGGAGATCCCCGGTGCGGGTCACGTGAGGATTGCGATTAGGAGAAATCACCGGTTGTTTTTCATGATAGTACATACATAATAACGAAGATTATGTTAGATGGTCAGCTCGTCATCTGAAGTGCATGATAAATGGTCGCGTGGCCGATATTCGTTGAGAACTAGTAGTAGTATTACCTTGCCCTTGTCCACCCTCGTTCCGATACTATATATTTTAACTTAGTACCCTCTTAGACTTCCGCATGATCGCCATAGTGCCTGTGATTGACAATCTACTTAGTATGTCTGGATAGTCTGCGCAGTGACTCTCCATTAAAAGAGACGCAGCTCCTAGTTTCGGTCGAGCCAATCCCACCAGAGACAAAATCCCAGGACATCTCATAGGCCTCTAGGCCGGAGAAAGCAATGACGGGCTTAAGTACTATTCGTGGCCTTGGGGTACCACGGCGATCACTTTCATTTCCTCTACAGACGCTACTATAATCATTGATTCAAACTAGTCAGTCAGCATCTGCTATAGTATGCTCAACTGTTCCATGGGGTCAGACATGCCACTCGCCGTGGCTTGAGACATTTTTATTTCCCCGCCCGTGAATCTCAGACGCTCAACCACCATGTGAGCAGCTGCGTGATGGGTTGATGCGATGAAGAGGTGACTTGATGCTGTTGTACGACTGAGCAAGCAAGCAAGCAGGAGTTTCTCCGCACTACTACCGACGCCACCAATTACAATCTCACGTCATATCGTATCGAATGTCCACGCAGTACCTGAATATAGTTGAAGTGGTTCAAGACCTGTCGGATGAGATTGAATATACTACTGTGCTCCGCAGACAATCCGATTTGCATAATGGACTACCAGTGGACAAGATGCCATTTCTCGATGTTTGGTGTGGTTCCTGACCCATTCATCACTCAGTCCGGCCCCTTCCCCGCGGCCATTCCCCCGCATTTCCCCCCCTCCTCTTCGAAAGCACTCCAATGCACCAAGACCCTAGTGGCAGGAGTGGCGTTGTCGCATTGCAGCAACACGCAGGAGGACTAGTCTGATCATTGGCGACGCTTTCCATATCAGGAAGTATCAGGCAATTGGCGGGGATCAGAAAGAGTCAAGCCGGATGCAAGCTCATCAACTATCGAAAACTAGTTCGAGTTCAAACAGGGCCCGATAAAACCTCTCCAGTCAGCACTCTGTACTTGTGAGACATACAGCTTCGGTGTCGAGCCTCCCCTCTCAGGCTCCAAGCGATCCCGGTTGGTAGGACGCCTGAATATCACTTCCCTGTCTCCCGAGTGGTTCACCGTTGTCTCGGTCAGCTGCGGAACAAACCTGGTGCTGCATTAGAGGGGAGATAACTTTAGTCTCAGGCTCTAAAGAACAAGGGCCATCTTTCGTTATGGAATGGATTACCCGGTCTTGGCCGTCGGGAGCGGAAATACTCCTACGGGTATGAAGAGACGTCGTGCAGAAAGGGAAGACTACTGCCATCAGTCCTACTGAGTAGGTGAATCCCACCTCACAAGGTAACACCCGACAGCAAGACCCTCGTCACCCGATTTACCCGGAGTGTCCATCGTGGTGAGACTTTTGCAGACTATCCTCGCTATACAGCGTCACCAACCAGGATCATTCCAAGACATGACTTGCCTGAACGAGAGCCCAGGGCAAGATAGGTGTCCCTAGTAGTATCTCACTGATGCCTCCATAGAGGCAGTTTTGCCATCATGGAATAGTATATAAGCCACATGCCTACCCTCCCATCCAGACTCATCTCTCTTCCTCAGAAACAGCCTCTCTCCTCTCAAGATATTAAGAACTACAAGAGCATCCACCATGTATCTCACATACATCACCCTCATCACCCTCTTCTCCTCCCTCGCCTCAGCCGCAGCACACTTCCCCCGCGACGGCACTCCCACCACCTTCACAGCCGCCGCAGTTATCAATGCCGTGGCCACACCCTCTCCAATCCAGCCCGGCATGACCAGCAACTGTGATTCCTTCCACCTAGTATCCAGCACCGACACCTGCGTCACCATTGCCTCCAGCGCCGGTATCACACTTGCCAATTTCTACTCGTGGAATCCGGGTGTTGGCTCCGGCTGCGACACTCTTTGGCTGGGGTACTATGTCTGTACTGGAGTGAGTGACACTACCACCACTACAACCACATCTACGACGACGACCTCCACCACCACCACGAGTGTGACCACCCCATTGCCCACTCAATCGGGGATGGTGAGTAACTGCGATGCCTTCTATCTTGTTGCCTCTGGGGATACCTGTACGACAGTGGCGCAGAAGAAGAGTGTGTCAGTGACGGATATCATCGCTTGGAATCCGGCAGTGGGAACAGGCTGTACTAATTTGTGGTTGGGGTATTACATCTGTGTGGGGGTGTTGTAAGGTTATGGTCGATGTGGGAGATTATGATTGATGTGGTTCTTGACAGGTGTGCGGTTGATGGTTTGGTATGTTGAACATCGTTTTTGGACTTAGTCTAGTAGCTAGGGATTGAGTAATAATGAACTACTTTGTTTGATCAGCGTTACAACGGAGACACCCATTTAGTCCAGTTCATACAATCCTAGTCTTCCATAGCAGGAGTCTACCAGAATAAGCCATATAGAGAAAAGCCGGCCTGAAGGAATAGATAGAGATAGCGCATAGTTAGGGTGATCTTGTGACCTGACAGCATTCTGATGAAAGTAGCATTGAATCGCTGCTGTACCACCTATTTAGCATCTCACTCGGTATATCAGATGATGAAGATTACCAAGACCAGAGACTTCGAACATATAGATCGTAAAAAATTACTAACAACAACGAGATAAATACCACGCAAGCGAGAGAGTTCTCCTTAAACTTTAATAATTATAGTAAAGGTGTCAAGAGTAAGCCCGAGTGCGAGATACGGAGAGATGAGATAACGAATAGACGCCAGTTCGTTACAACGACAAATACGGACTTGAGTTGTAACAAAAGCTATCGTGCAAAAGTCAATAGACACGCAAGGACATGTATACACACCACTTCTAGGAAGGCCTGTTGTGCTCAAGAAGTATAGTTGTGCAAGCATCTTCCAAGATTCAGAAGGGAAAGAAGGGAAAGAAGGGAAAGAAGGGAAAGAAGGGAAAGAAGGAAATTTTTTCATGGAGTAAGAATTCTTTTCTACATATCGTGGAATTCATCTAACTAAGCTAACTAATACATCCTCTTTCGTACATTCTTGCAACTTAAGTCAGGTCAAAATGAAAACATGACAGTGGAATAACGGCCCAAGGAAAATGGAAAAAAAGGTAAATAAAAGGAAGAGCTAAACACAATCAGAACACAACTTAAACAGTACATATTCTTCCATTCTTCCATTCCAAACAGTAGCGTCAAGAGCGGATACAGGAACAATCGAGCAGAAGGCCAAGCATAAGCTAACGAGTGACAGGTCCGACAACCGTTGGAACCCTCCAACAAATGAGTAACAGGAAGCCAAAATGAGTGAATGACAAAACTAGGATTCATTGAACAGACCGGCAATTAATCATGGGTGAATCTTGCCTCAAAGTTCCAATGTTGGCTCTCGGACCGGACATTCTGGTTGGCTGCCGGTGTTCGATACCTGGATCGTGACTGGCGATAACCACGCGAGGTACTCGGTCCTTGAGTACGCCTGGGAGGAGCGGGAGTTCTTGCAGGAGGTTGGGGATTCGTTCGCGACGAACCACCATGCTGATAAGGAGCACCGCTCTGCCGTCGGTCAGATTCCCTACGGTGGTATGGGCGGGTGGGTGTGCCAGGCTCTTCAGGGCTGCTCCGCCGATGGCTGCGGCGGGGAGTTGGGGTCAGAGTAGCAGAAGACTCGACCGAAGAGGAGCTGCTCGCATTGGAGTGTGGGGTTTGATTAGGCGATAGGAAATAATCGTCTTCTGGCTCTTGATCACTCATATACGCATCGTCTGCGTGCTTGTCCGCCTCGAGCTTTGGCATAACCAACTGTGGAAAGAGGTTGCGGCGGTCCTTCTCGACTGCTGTGCATATGTTGCTGAGATATCTATAGCGCTTTCTGAACATCAAGTTAGTAATTATGGCTTACAGGATCATGAATTGGAAAAGTACATAGCAACTTACCTTGCAGTATCAGCGGAATAGCGATCATCTCCTCTTTTCTTCACTAGCTTCTCGAACACCTGCTTTGAGAGGGTTCCCTCGTTCAAAGCTAGGATCATTCCTCTCAGTAGCAGGCAATCTTCAATATAATTCCACGAAATTGGAGACCGTTTGGTTACCGATGGGGTGCGTGGGGGCGTCTCCGGTCTGTTCCTGGTTTGGCGTCCCGAAGACTTTCGGGGCATGGTGGTCTGCAGGTGGCTTCACCACGAGAAGAGAGGTTGAGATGGGGAAGACTAACGAATGGTCAAGTGTTGGTGAAGTATGAAAACTGATCAGGAACAGATTGTGCCTTATATGTTAGCCTGAGAAAAGCTGTTCAGCCCACATGATGTCGGAAGTCCGGGTAGTCTACAGCACTTTTGCATTTTCTCTTTCCAAGTCGATGGATAGACATCGACCTACTTGCTTTGGGTGGCTGGTAAAGGCACAAGTGCGGTGTCTGTCCCGGACTGCAGTCTAATGTGATCTGGACAACTGGTGAGCAGGTTAAACGCAGGCACCGAGCAAAATCTGTGGGTGATATATCCGATATACCATGGATGGGTCTTCCTACGTGACGGCCGAGTCGGGAAGTGGGTCTATAAGCAGGTACTCTGTATTACTGAAACATCCTTTGAATGTGATCTGTATTGGTGGGGCTTGCAGGACTCAAGCTGAGTGATATGTCAACAGGTTGTCTACTTACTGTATGTATGTTTCTTCTGACTGACTGGAAGGCAGAGTCGGCGGATTCGGATTAGAGGGATTGGATCTCAACTGATCCGATGGACTACTGACAGTGTCAGGGTACAATACTTCCTAGATATGTGAGTAATCATATCAGCAGGCTCTCGACTACTAAGTAAGTACACCAGTAACCGCCGTAGGCGATCAGCTCCATTGAAGCGAACTGACTGGCTGGACCGGCTCGAGCCGCCTTCTGCAAAAATCCAGCAGATCTCCAATTCGATCACTGCTTGCGATCGTTGAAACGCAGCCAAGAAACTCCGACATGCATCGAATTTTCAACAGTACGGAGTACCATGTAGCAGCTACTCCCTGTATACGTAAAGTACTACACTAAGCTATCATGGCAGGTGATAATGTATTCAGGCCCTAATTCGGCTATAGAGCGTTGAATTTGGGCCGCTTTCCACCGCGGCAAAAGTAGCGTCCGCCCGATCTCGGCCCGGCTTGCATGACAGAATCTTGTTCGAGCTTATTTTACTCTCGTTCTTCCTCTTGTGGTTATGCCTCCAGTCTTCGAGCCAATGCCACTTAGCGAGCCAGCAGCTGCCTCGGTCAGAGAGTCAGGAAGCAAGCGACTCGGCGCGAAGCAACCCGTGAGTCGAACTCCACAACTTTCTGCGCACCACCCCGGCCTTCACGATCCATCGCACACACAATCCCTGTTCCAACATCGGCTTGGGCGGCTCCAAGCTATATTCCTGCGTCGAATCGATCCCTTCCAGGAACAAAGGGTACTCCATCTGGCCCCAGAAATGAAAGCCAGCCACCTTTTTCTTTCCCGCCTAGCTTATCAGACGATGTGCTTCCTCGCGCTCCATTGGATCTATCAACTTCATCTGCGTATTTTTAGCGTGCAGCCACAAATCCCACACGGTTTACTTCGTGCCTGTGGTGTATTTTATACGATGATATAATGCACTCGACCTATCCAATACCTCCCCAAGTTCCAGAGATGGAACTCGAATTGTAAACATAAACTACGCCCACAATTTTACATCTCACCCCCGCCCCCCCTCCTCTTCGCAGCTTAATCCCTGTCTATAGCTTCACCGTCAGAATATCGGAGTGGTCGGTCTTTGCATCGGGGACTGTTGCCATTGCTGCAGGTAGTTCGGTGTTTCAGCATCCCCAAAATTTCGACACAGGAGGCTAGCGCGTGCATTTATGGATTCACGGGAGAAATCGTGACTGAGATGCTTGGTTGCCTTGATGAAAACTTCACATCCCAGGCGGAATCAGAGACTGCAATCTAGCATGGGTATACCGGCTAGTAATAGCTTTTGTCACTTGAAGTCGGGGCCCCGGTAGGTCTTTAGCTCGATCTAGACTGTAGCTGAAACTTCCGCATTATTCTGTCAGTTAGCCCTGTTCTGCTGTGCTTCCAGCCAGGTGGGTGGCCCACAATCATGACTTTACGGGTCGTTGCCATGGAGAGGCTGCAAGAGCCCGTATACTGTGGACATGAGCTGCGTGCTGATGCTTCGTAACTCAGGACATCTAAGACTACCCTCTTAGTGTACACTCCTACACCGAGATTTTTGTCATGTCCCAATGGTTGCTCTCATGCTCCATGAAGATATCCTGTAGAAGACCCAGATAAGGCGTCCCTGACTTCTCCACCAAGTCCAACTAGTCACACCAGGGCCCAGTGCTCCAACTCCCCTGCCACTTATCGGAATGGCTACTATTTACCTTGAATGGGGTCCAGTAAAGACAAGTTTCAGCGTATAGTGTGCTGGTAAACCTTCTACAGTTCCCCTTTCCGACAGCGCGGCAGGACAAGCTTTCCCAATGTCCAAATGTTCCTGGAAGTTGTGGCGAGCGCTCTAATGTAGCTGAAAATCTAGCCAGTTCAATCGTTGCAGTATCTCAAGATTAGTCCGAGATCCCCAGATAATGGCGGAAGTACTGACCAATCCTTCGAATAGAAATCTATAATCTCATGGACGCACTCTGCTGTAATAACTGAGGGATTGATATACTTTGACAGTAGTATCGCCTGTCCAGTGTGACTGCTTGGCTGTTGAATGCATTCTGAAAGCATTTCTCGGTCTCGCAGCACAGATTCGCTTAGCCCCTTCTTGTTGAATAAGTAGTCGAGCTATGCTTTTTCGTGGAGTGACACAGCGAAGGCGATCCCACACCCGCTATCAAGATGATTCACTACTATCAATGCTACCTCTGTCCCATACTAGCCATCTTGACGTTCATGGCTCCAATGGCATAAGCAAAAAATCAACGGGTACCCGACTTGACCCCATCCGGTACGTCACCATCAGTGACTGTCCACAAACACAAGCAAGACCAACAACAACAACAACCCCATCACCTTCCTGAACTGGTCTATTCCGAAGAGCCGAATGCAGATGTCCAAGCGACCTAATCGAAATCCCGGCTGCCGGCATGAATAAAACCTTGTTCAAGCTGCCGCGTGTTCCGTTCATCCAAGTTCACCGCTACACCGTCCGAGCAACTGAGGGTCCGATCAACCAAACGACCAACCACCAGCTGGAAATTAAAAGTGAACCCGAACGAGGCAATTTCAAATTGGTGCTCGGTATGTTGTATTTCTTCTACCCGAGGCAATTGCGCTTGATCCCTTTGTTTACCACTGCTGCCTGTTGTCACGTCTCCGCCCGATTGCTGGAGAAT